TTCCAAAAGAAAAGAGGCATATGTAAATAAACACCAGAAAAGAGTCCTATAAGAAATTCTGTTCAAACTGGCCATAAAATTATTAGTAAATATTTGTTATTGTTCATTAACTCTCAGCTACTTTGTTGAAAGAATAGATGTTGTATTTTCAAGATGAGAACTACTTAGCTAGTTTTGTCATAATCCTGTACTCTGTAAAAAAATCTTTTTATAAACAAAGTCTAATAGGCTACCAAGCAATAATATATTCCATTGGGTGTGCACAGATTGTGACTTGCAGGCTGTAGTACATATTGTTGATACAGTTTATAATTGTCTTTAATCTGAACAAGATCACTTTTGAAAAAGGTCCATATTAACTTTGATTGTAAAAAACAAAGACTGGGCTGTTGCCTTGTGAGATATATTCATTCTATAGACTTCTCTGTGAGTGTCTGTGCCCATCGACATGAGATCTCTTAGGTGAAGAAAGAAACAGCTGTAGGTGACTTCATACAACAGAGGTAAAAAATAGTTTCAGTATAAACTTCATGACTGTTTCAATCTCCTGTTTTTCTTAGGCTATCTAGTATTTGTAACTTGACGAGAATGGTTCCCACTGCCATTGTAGCCCTGATAAAGCAAAAAAGCCTTTGCACTCTGGGGCCACTTGAGCTCTGCCTGACAGCTGCCTATTTTCCTCAAGATACCTGGGGCAGGCTAAAGGGAGGGGTTTTTTTCAGAGCAGCAGATCGGGCTGCTCTTCTTTAAAGGCTCTGTGGGTTATTTTGTCCATTTCATGGGTGGCATTTGTCCATTTTGTTAAAAAAACTCCACCCAAGGCAGAGAGGTTGCACCTTTGCAGGGGCTCACAGGGGACCAAGGTATAACACAGGCACAGGCTGTTCTGTGCCTTTCCTCAGAAATTTGCTGGTGCTGGGCTCTCTGATTTTTCCAAAGTGGCAGGATCAGGATACTGGATTTTAAGTCAGCTCCATCATTGATGCAGTGCATAGAATAAAAGAGCTTCAAAACAGCATCCCAGTCCATTGCCTGTGGATTCCTCCCGGCATTTCCCATAGGACAAGTGTCCATGTTCTTCTCAAGATTGCCAGGCTGCTGGCTGTGCAGGCAGCAGGTCCCAGTGATGCTGGGAGCCCCAAGGAATGCTGGAAGAATTCCTGTTTTTTGTGAAATGCTTTGAAAAGAGAGAGGTGTGAATGCAAAGTGCCCTCAGTAGAGGAGTCCAGGGCCTATTGTGACCTGGAGGGAGCATCTAAAATGAAATTGCAGCTGCTGGATTTGAGCCAAGCATTTAGAAAAGAGAATGAACAGTGAAAAGAGAATGATCAGTGAAAGGCTTTTTGTGTTTAACCCCAGTGCACACCAGCCAAGGGGTGTGTGAACATGGTAATTCCACAGGGAGTTTGCAAGTGTTCTCAAAATGTGGCTTCAGCTCTCACTGCCAGACTCCTCTGCTCAGTGGCCACGTCCCAGTCACCAGGCAGCCTCACGTCCATCCCCAGCTGCTCACCCACGACAGCAGCACCACACTCATCCTTGGGGAACCTCCAGCTCCTCCCACATTATAGACACCCTCTGCCCGCCCTTCACCGTGGTGGCTGCTTTTATCCTGGTGGGAGAGGAACCGGGGAGAGTTTCTTCGTAGCATTTGGTTCTTTGCACTTTAGTGACTGAAACAGAAGGACCTTGCACCAGCCCTTTCCAGGACACCAGCAAACAGAGGCAATGACTGAAGGATTTTCCCTTTGTGACTTTCCAGTAGCTAAAACAGCAGCCAAAGCAGTGCAGCTTGGCCAGGTCCATGGGCAGCCTTGGCATTTGCTCTGGGCGTGTTACATGGGCTGAGCCCCCTGTGTAGGGGCAGGGAAGGGCTGTGCCTGGCAAAAAGGCCATGTGGGCACACGCTGTGCCCAGGGAGCAGGACCAACCAAGAGAATGATTGAGGCACACCTTGCTGAAGCCATCCCACAAGCTTTGCAGGAGCTGGTTTTTGTACTTGCTTGGGCACCAAATATTAGGATATCAGCCCACAGGGACTCCAGGTCCCACTAAATGCCAGCCTGGAGCTTCAAATCCTTCAGCAGTTTTTTTCTTCAGGGCTGTTGCTTCTGACCCAGTGCTGCACACTGGTCTCTTCTTTGGTCATTCCGCCTTCTTGACCTGGAGCTGGTTTTGGCTTTGGAGCCAGGGAAAGTGAGGTTTGGAGGGTGAATCTTAAGGCATGTTCCCCTAGCCTCACCACACTGGGGTTGTGTTCCTCCTGCTCCCTGCACGGTGAAAGGGCATCCTGGGGATGCAGTGCCTCCCCTGAGACCCCCTCACGCAGCACTGCCATGGCCTGCCACCCACCAGGGATGCCCGTGTCCTGCCAATGTTTTGTAGCAGTCCACCTTCAAACTGCTTCCTTTGCCATCCTTGGAAGGAGCCAGGAGTCTTCTGCAGGGGCTGGGCAGCCCGGGCAGGCGGGATGTGCCATCACTGACACCAGGAGAAGGCAGGGAGCTGCCTCTGGGCTGGGAGGAGGGCAGCTCCCAGCGAGCTTTCCTCCACCTTCCCTTTGCTTTCCCCAGCACCCTCTGCTCCCTGCATGGGTCCCCACTTCCCTCTGGACACGAGGCCTTATTCCAGCCCGAGGGGACTGAGGCTGCCCGCGGCATCTCTGCACTGCCATCCATCCCCGCTGCCGCCGAGCCCCGGGCGGTGCGGCAGAGCTGGCCTCTGCTCGGGATGTGGCCACCCCAGCCCATCCCTGCCCCCACCCCACTCTGCCACCCTGCTGGAGCTCTGCCTTGTTCCCCCCTGCCAGGGCCTGGCCACTGTAGGGAAATCTGCTTTCACAGGTTAAACCTTTTTACTTCATTAATTGCTCCACAAAACACAGTAACTTTGCAGGCGCACTACAACACTCCTCTTGCTTTTCCCTAGGAGTGGGGGCAGCTGAGATCTGCTCTTTTTGGCCTCTGTAACCCTCTCCAAAACTTTCTGGAGGTTTTTAACATCATTTGGTGAGATGTAATCTCTGTGGAGCCAGAGGGAACACAGGCAATGGAGCTGGGCAGCCTGCTTGCCCAGGTGGCGAGTGGCTTGCGAGGTGCCTGGGCTGCCTTGGGTGGAAGGTGGGACACCGGCCACTCGTCTGTAGTCAGGAGAGGATTCTGCTATACTTTTTTCCTGTCTGTAGGTTTTATTCAGACAATATGTAATGAATAAGTGATTTACAATTCAGTGTTAAGCTAATGAAAACGTTGATAATGGTGATAATAAAACCTTTTTTTTTTCCTACGGTGTGTTGGAGGTTTTCTGTGAAGTGTCTCTGCCCTCTCTGTTGTCACCACCATTATCTTCAAGCTGGAATTTCAGCTATAGGCAATGAGAGCAGCTCAGCCTGGTGTGTCCAGTGCTCCATGGAAGGGCTGTCACTCCAGCTCACTCAGTCAGCCCCAGCTTCAAACCTGCATTTCCCTGAGCCACTTCTGGATGTGATTTGGCCGTGGGCATCTGGAGATGGCACAGAGCTAAGCTTGCTCCCAGTTGTGCTCTGCTCACCACCCCAGTCTAAAGCTCCTGCTGTTTTCTTTCCAAGACCCTTCATGGTCAGCCCTGGCCATTCAAGGGTGATTTTGAAACCCGGAGGTGAAGACTCTGCTGGCAGAAAAAAACCACCCCTGGCCCAGTCTGTTGGGAACATCCAGTGTGGGTGCAGGGGAGCCTGGGGACCCTCAGATGTTACTGGGTGTGCAGCTGCTGCCTGGATGACCTGGAGCCGTGAGCCCTTGGGTGGGAAATGTCTGGGGGATCCTGCTGGAGGGGTCTGTGGGAGGAGCTGGTGGTGCTGAGAATGGCACCATTCTCTGGGCAGCTACTGCAAGTCCTTTTCTTGTGAGAATGAGGGATTGCAAAGTCATAGTTCACTAAGAATTTTTTAAAAGGTGTTTGGCATGACTCCAAATCCCTCTGCAGGTCATGAGGGTGAGACCAAGGGGCAGCTTCCCACCTGCCCCAGCTACAGCCCCTGGGGAGCAGTGGAAGGGGGAGGGGGAGGGTTTCTCTAGAGAGTCAGGAGGCAGTCCAGCATCTCCCACCCTCAGACCACCGCCAGCTTCCCAAGCAGGATGGGGCTCAGGCTGTCACTGAGCAGCCAAGCCGTGCTGCCTGGAAGCTCAGGACACGGGGGAGCAGCAGCTACCGGGCAGCCACTGTCACCTCATCCCCAGCGCTGCCCTCCAGGGTGTGGAGGTCACACCGCCAGCCCTGCTGCCTCTGCTGGGCTGTGCCTTTGCATGGCTGCACCGTGGGCTCTGTGACACAGCCTGGAGCCACTGAGCTTGGGCAGTGCTGTGCTCAGTCCAGAGGGAGAGTGCAAGAATGGCTCAGCCTCTGGGTTCAGGTTTTCTCCTGCTTCCAGCTCCAGCAGAGGTGGATTTCACCAGGGCAATACCGTGCAGGTCTGACTTGAGCAGGAATCAAGGACCTGCTTCTTTCCACAATGGTGGATGAGGGTGAGAGGTGCAGCTCCATCTTGGCCACTGGGAGGATGTCCAAGGCTCAGCGTGGAAAGAGGGAGGGATTCAGGGCAGCACAGCGACAGCCAAACCTTGGGCTGCAATCCGTAGGGAGGGTGGGGGAGATGGGACATGGCAGCAAAAGGGCTGAGCTGGTGGGATCAGTGTAAAGTGACACGCTGAGGAGCTGAGAAGCCAATGAAAGCCTCATTTTTAAGCCTGTTTTCCACACTCACAGCTTGCTTTGTTCCCCCCTTCTCCCCCTTTCCCTTTAAACCACGGCTCACCCACTGCTGCAGAGGGGGCAGTTGCAGGGCATCCTGGAATGTCACACACCCCAAAGGGCCTGGGCAGCACCAGGTGAAGGTGTCACAAACCAGCCCTGGTGGCAGCCCAGCAGCACCTGCATCCTCCTCTCTGCCTGAGTGCCCACAGGGAGCCAGCCTGGGCTTTGGGGCTTGGACACATCCCTTTGACAAATAATCAACCACCACCTGATGGATTCACCTTTTATTAAGCTGCCACCCAGAACAAAAGGAGGAGAGAGCAAAGCCTGCCCTGAGACCTTCACAGTGCTGGCAACTCTGCATGCCTTCCCCACCAGTAAAAGGGGCTATTTCTCCACAAAAATACCCTCAGAGGGTATTTTAAATAGAACTGAGAGTTAAAATGTCCATTATTGGAGAAAAAAATCAATAGGGCTCCTACCACTGTCAGAGCCCTGCTTTCATGCAGATGAGACAGGATGGACAAAGGCCATGCTGGGGTCACCAGCTGGAAAGAGCTGCCCAGGTGTGGCTGTGCAGGTACCACATCCCACCTGGGGATGAACGTGGAGATGGGACCACCCCCACCTCAGATAACCCCAGCAGCAACAAGCACAAACCCATGGGCTCACAGGGACTGGGAGGAGGAGAGGAGCCAGCACAGCTGCTGGGCTGCCAGCTGGGGGAAGGGTGGGGAAGGAAGGGGTGATTTTAGCTAAGAAGAAAGAAAATCTGCTTAGGACCAAGCCATTTGCAGGTGACTGTAGTTCAGGAGGCTCTCTGTGGGCTGCCCTTAGTACAGTCTGGGCTCAGCACAGAGGAGAGCTGGGGCTGGACTGGACTGGAGTTCAGCTTCCCTTGGGAATAGGGCACAATGTCCCTCCAGCCATTTCAGCCAGGAGGACCTACCCACGGTGGGGAGGTATAAGAGGCAAAGTGTGCTGGTGGGCAACTGGGTGAGTACATGGACCTCCAGCTTCCAAAAGCACTGAGCCAGCCGCAAGCCTGAGCTCAGACCCAGAGGGCTGCTCACAGGAGGTGAAGTTCCTCCATGAAGCTGTCCCATGTGCTGAGCTTCAGGACTGCAGCCCATTCCCTCCTGCCCACTTCTCCCTGCCCACCCACCAGCTGCAAACCTGCTGTGGCACTGACTTACCTCAACCTGGTGCCAGGGGACAACTTAGTAGTCCCCAGCCTTGCAAGGCTTGCTCACACACACTTTGCTTTTGTCACTCTCAGCAAGTGCAACCCAGCCCACGGAGCAGGAGTCATGTGCTGCAGCAGCCACAGCCAAGGCTCAGCAGGGTGGGAGGGCAGCAATGGAGCCTTTGGGGAGCAGGGAGGTGGGACAGCAAACCTACAGCTCACTGGGCTTCACATCGGGGTGGGGGGGGGGGGGCCCTCTTGCCAGTCCCAAATGTTTGAACCTACTTGGGAGGAAAAAGCAAAGAAAAATGAATGATGTCATTTCAGTGCCTGCAAAAAAGGAATCATTATTTCCCAACAGGATTTAGAGGCTCCTGCTGGGGGCAGGGAGAGGAACAGAAGAAATGAGTAAGAAGAACCTGACATCTCTGTTCTTAATTTATCATCATAGTACAACTGGAGCGCTGAGTCCAGCTGGGCACGCGCTCCTAGATGGATTTCCTCCGCAGCCGGGGGTGCTGCCGGCAGCGAGGGCTGTTGGAAGACAAAGTGCTCCCCGGGGAGGAGCCGGTCTGACCCCGCGTGCTCAGGGACACCTCATCGATTTTGTAGGAAATGGAGTTGTAATAGACGGGGTTGGTGTGGCAGCTGAGGGTCTCGGGGTGGGAGGGCGCCGGGCTGCCGCACACCTGGGGTCTGTAGCACAGGCAGGTGCAGAAGGATGGCACCTCGGCCGCCGACACGGCCGACTGGCGCCGCTGCCTCTCCGCGTCCTCCTGGACCAGCGGGATCAGGTTCATCTGGCTCGTCCTGTCCTCCACAGGGAGAAAAATGGCATTGCTGCTGCGGCTGTCCTCCTTTGGCTTGAGGTGGATGTTGTTGCGGGCTCTCCTCAGCGAGGCTCGCTCTTCGGCGTCGCGCCGCTCGTCCTCCGAGTTCATGGTCAGGAAGCGCAGCACCACCAGGTTGAGGAAGGCGCCGATGACGGTCAGGCCCACCAGGATGTACATGAAGCTGAAAGCCACGTACGGGGGCTTCTTCTGCAAAGCCTCGTTCTTCTGCAGAGCCACAAAGTCTCCAAAGCCAATAGTGGTCAAGGTTATGAAGCAGTAGTAATAGGCGTGAAAGAAAGTCCAGCCCTCGAAATAAGAGAAGGCTGCGGCGCCGATGCACAGGGTGCCCATGCAGGACAGGAAGCCCACCAGGACCATGTTCTCCATGGAGACATGGGTTGTCCTCATGCCCAGACACTTCTTGATCTTCTTGAGCAGTAGCCGCACGACGGTGTTCATGCGCTCCCCCAGGCTCTGGAACATGACCAGCGTCAGAGGGATGCCCAGGATGGCATAGAACATGCAGAAGACTTTGCCAGCGTCTGTGCCTGGAGCAGCATGCCCATAACCTGTGAAGGACACAGGAAGGAGGAAAGGAGGCATCAAGCCCTCACTGGGGTTTCCAGCAAGGCTGCCCTGTGATCAAGAGGAGCAGTAGAAAAGGGGGGGAAGAATGGAAAATGACTCAGTAACAGATCTGTAGGTAATACTAATGGGGCCATGGGATGCCCATCCTTTGGAATGATGGCACATTCATGTAGGCAGAACCTCATTTGACCCCTAAAGAGAGAAGGTACCCTCCTGACAGCCCCCAGTGTCACAGAGGCCTAGGGCTGGACTGGGGTCTGCAAGCCTCCTGCAGCTCACGAGTAATTCAGAGGCAGGATGCTGTGCCAGTGCCAGGTGTGCAGGGTAACCTGAACCCCACAGTGAAGGGGAACAGAGGCTCTGCAAGATGCTGAGACCAACAGCATCAGATCACCCTGTGGGGAGGAAACCCACCCAGCCAGGACTATCCACAACTGCCCTTGCAGGGGCATTGCCACCTCCCCTGTCACCTGCTCCTCCTCCTCTCCCAAGCTGTCCAGTGTCACATGCACATTTGAGTCTCAGCTGTATGAGCTGTTGGATGGGAACCAGAGTGATCCTGCAACTCTGTGCTGTAGGGACAGTCCCCAGAGGAGCAGCTGTGTCTGGAAGGACTTCTGCAGACCCCCTCCAGATTTACTCCAGTGTCACTAAGACTCAGACCTGAAGCACCGCTGGCCTGTTGGGGAGGAGGAGCTGTGCAGGGTAGGGAGCATTTATGCCACCACAGCCCTGTCAGCCCTTTTCCTGTGGACAAGGAGCTCCAGGACATGAAGGTTCTCCTTGAATGCCTTCTGACATTTAATTTCTCCACCTTGGCCCAAGTTTCAGAGCTGTCACTCGAGGACACACACAATTACACTGTGAGGCATAGTGAGGTATTCACTGCAATCTTCCAGACTCCAGCAATTCCTTGCCCACCTCAATTACAGCAGCTTAGCAGAAATTGGTGGCCCCTGACCTCAGAGGATGAGTAACGAAATCAGTGCAAGGGAGTCACGTGGGGAGCAAAGGCATCCAAAGGCATCCAAAGGCATCTGAGCCTTTCTTTTGAGTTGTTTCTACAAGAAACTACCAGGGCCTGAGACTTCCCTTCTGAAAGAGCCTCCAGAACAGCACCAGCTCCTTCCTGTGCTGCTGCCAGGCCTTTCACAAACAGCTATTTGCATTTTCACTTTCTGCAGGAATTTGCATGACTTTTGCATGGAGAACATGGGTGAAAACCCCCTCTTGTTATCCCACAGTCTTGTTTTAAGTGGTGACTTGGCTTCACCTCAGTCCTTGCTGCCCGTGGATTTCCAGGATACTTGGGGAAGGTGCTGCACCCACTGATGGAAGGACCAGAGGAGGATAACCATGTTATACTGGGCTTCTGAGCACACCTCCTGCTCCAGGAAACTCCTGCATGGGACAGGGCTGAGGGGCTGAGGACAGCATTATCCTTCTCCATGCTGTGCTTGGAACTGCCAGCAGGCAGCAAGGGACCAGCTTCTAATTGCTCTCTCTGTTCACAGATTCACACAACAAAAAATGATGAATTTAATGCCTGTATGCCACATTTCATGAAACACAGAGCAGACAGGAGACTGCAGTGGCAAAACCTCCCAGTCAGATCCAAGCTTAATAACTGAGTGCAATCACCAGGTCCCAGGCTACAAGATAATACAATGACAGCAATAAGGATGTAAAGATAATGATCCACAAGAGCAGTAACTGGAAAAACAATTGTTATACCCTGAGAGATTATTGAAGGAGTGTTTGACTGATGGTTTCGAAATGACAAAGGGAATTAGAAAGAGTAAACACAGCTACAATGACATTAAAACTGAGATTTGGAGCACAGCCCAATGTAAATAGATCTAACATGTCAGTGTTTGAGAAATACGGCACCTGGGCTGAAATTATTTATCACACAGGGTGTGTGATAAGCACAGCCATTGTTTGTCATAGCCAACAGGAAAATCATGTAAATGAAGCTATAACCTGTCAGGTGATGATGGGGATTTTTGCTGAAGCCATTCATCTTTCCCTCCTGCTGGGGTCTGACCTGAACCATGCCCTGAGCTCACCGTGGTTTGCTGACCATGCGTGTTCCCAGCTGCACAAACCCCACACCACATCCCATGGGAGCACATGGAGCCCCCAGGCAAGGCCTGCAGGATACCTGTCCCTCTTCCACCTCTTGCCCTCTGGTAGCACAGTGCAGTTGATCCCACCAGCCCTTATCCTGAGGGATGAGGCTTCCAGCTACCAGAAGTTTTTAACCATCCCAAGCCCTTTAGTAAGGCTGAAGTCCTGTCCTGAAGAACAGGAGGTGGCTGCTGGCAGTGCCAGGGCAGGATTTGGCCTCAGGGTTCCTGCCTCCAAAACACATCTGCTGACTGAAATCCCAGCACAAGCAGTGACACAAGCACAGGATCCCTGTCTATCCCCACGGGATGCCAAGGGTGCATAAATTAATCAAAGTGGATTCATTAAACAATGCTCAACTCCCACGTGGCTAATCTCACCTAAATTAAAGCAACCCTCATTCAATTTAGTTTCATTCTCTTGCAAAATTGAAGCGGACAAGGCACTGGGCTCTAGTATGGGTAAGTGGGTCTACAGGGGAGTTTATTTCACTCACTCCCCTCCAAGCTGACACCCGTGTCTCTGCAGGTTTCTGTGCAGGCAGAGCAGTGGGCAGCGGCTTGTGGCTCTCTTGGCTCTGTTAAGCCAGTCTCACACAGCCAAACACACAGAGTTTGGAGCCAGCAGAGAAGCCAACAGCTCTTGCCCAACTCTTCACCCAGCTCACTGGCTAAAGCCAGCACAGAGGACAGACACGGCCCCTACCTCTGCCCTCCCACACCGCTGCCAACTTTGGCAGCTGCCTGCTCCAAAGGTTCCCGCAGGAGCTCTGCAAGCTGCTGCCTCCCTGGGACAATGCCGTGTCTTGCGGCCCCAGCCACAGCAGCACGCCCAGCACGGGGTGGTCCTCGCCCACCACTGGGCACTGGAGTCCAGCAGGGTCAACTCGGGGGTGGCCTGAAGAGATGTCCCAACCTTGCAAGGGTGACACCTGCCTCTGCCGTGCCCCCAGACTGCCCTGGGGCTCCCAGGGGTACAGGAGGTGTGGGGCTGGAGAAGGATGTGGCGCAGGGACATGGGATGCAGGGGCATGGGGATGGAGGGGCATGGGAGGCAGCGATGGAGGAACGGGGTGTAGGGAGGTTGGATGGAGCGACACGGGGTGCAGAGGTGCAGGGATGAAGGGATGCCGGGCGCGCCGGCCGGGCTGCCCGCACTCACCGATGGTGGTGATGACCGTGATGGCGAAGTAGAAGGAGCCGGCGAACTTCCACTGGCGACCGGCGCGGTGCGGCTCGGCCTGCAGCACCAGCCGCTCCAGCTCCCGGTAATCGTCGGCGGAGAAGCGGTACTTCCTCCGCAGCTCCCCGCGCTTCTGCTCCAGCAGCCGCTTGCGGCCGCTCTCCGCCTCCGACTCCAGCGCATCGAAGACCGCGGCGCCCACCAGCAGGTAGGAGAAGATGCAGAGGATGAGCGCGGCCGTGCGCAGGTTCTGCCGCTTCATGGCGAGGGGCGGCCGCCGCGCTCAGCCCGGGCTCCGCATGGCCCCGCCGCCGCCGCCCCCCGCCCGCCCCCCGCGCACCCCCGCACCGCGCACCGCCCCCCGCGCACCGAGACAGAGCACCGCGCACCGAGCACCGAGCCCGGGCACCGCGCACCGAGCCCGGGCACCGCGCACCGCCCCCCGCGCACCGCCCGCGTACCGCTCCCCGCGCACCGAGTCCGCGCACGGCTCACCCCGCACTCCGCACCGCACACCGCACACCGCGCACTGCCCAGAGCACCGCGCTCCGCGCACGGCTCACCCCGAACCGCCCCCCGCGCACCGAGCCCGGGCACCGGCTCCTGCCTGCCCCGGGCACCGGTTCCTCCTGCCCCGGGCACCGGCTCCTGCCTGCCCCGGGCACCGGCTCCTGCCTGCCCCGGGCACCGGCTCCTGCGGGCTCCGGCTCACACGCACACCTAGACTGGCTCCAGTGTGCCCCGAGCCCTCCCAGCCCGGCAGCTCCGGGCAGCGCCCAGCTGCAGGTGAGCCCTAGGGTGCCAGCAGCTCATTCTCGTGCCGGTGACACGAGGTTGCCCCTGGATGCTCCCAGGCTGGAGGACTTTCTCGTGCCTACACCCCCTCTGCCTGCCCTCCCTCCCGAAAGCAAGGGCCTTTGGGGCTGTGTGGCTGTCCCGAAGCACCCTGTGGTATCATCCCTGTGGTATCATCCCTGTGGTACCATCCCTGTGGTATCACCCCTGTGGTATCACCCCTGCACAGGCAGCCCTCGTTCCTGCTGCTCTGCCCAGCTCTGTGCCACTTCACACCCATGGCACTGAGGAGCACTGCTCCTGCTGTTACCTGTGTAATCCATTTGTGTTACTTGTGCAATCTATCTGTGTTATCTATCTGTGTTATCTGTGTTATCTGTGTTATCTATCTGTGTTATCTGTGTTATCTATCTGTGTTATCTGTGTTCCCAGTGTTATCTATCTGTGTTATCTATCTGTGTTATCTGTGTTATCTGTGTTATCTATCTGTGTTATCTATCTGTGTTATCTGTGTTCCCAGTGTTATCTATCTGTGTTATCTATCTGTGACACCTGTATTATTTATCTGTGTTAGCTCTGTTATCTCTCTGCAATATCTGTGCCATTCTTTTCCCAGCTGGTTACCAGAGCAGAGTCTGGCCTGTTGTGTCCAGTGCTGCTTTAAGAGGGCAGAAAGGAAGAAAAGCAGATCCAGTGTTTCTGTTGCTTTCTTTGGCACGTTGGTGAGAGGCTGCAGGCGCAGGGGATGTGGGGCCTGTCCACCGTGTGCTGGTGTGGGGGGCAGTGAGCTCAGCCTCTCTGCACTGATGTGCTGTGGACAGCTCAGGTCAGCCCCAAGGAGCTGGGAAATTAGCTGTGGTAGGAGGCAGAGCCCACAAATTGAAGACCCTGTTTCTCATCCCTGGTTACCATAGCTTTTATGTAACTCCTATACTTCACTTTTAAAAATAGAAAGATACTTCTGAGTTGTGTGTTGCAGGCGATAGTATCTCTTTCAGGACAAGAAACTCTTCTTCTTTTGGCTGGGAATAAAATGCACAAGTGAAACACGCAAGTGAAAAAAACGATGAGGCTTACATCTCTTTTCATCCATCTTGCTTCTCTCTCTGGAGAGGAGAAGAGGCTTTGGGATTTAGTTGCACCAATCAAGGTTTGAACTGGACATAAGAAAAACATCCTAACCATGAAGACAGTGAAACACTGGAACAGACTGCTGGGGGAGCTTGTGGCACCCTGTCACTTGAGGAGTTTAAAAATAAGATAAGCAGATGTCTGAGTGTCTGCTGAAAATGCTCTGGGTGCAGTGGGTGCTCTCCTGAAGGAGGGGGTGATGCAGTGCTCTCCTAGAACCCCTTCCATCCCTGTCCTCAGCATTCCCATGGCCAGTTCAAGGGACACAGTGGCCTTTCCTACTGTAATTTTGAACTCTTTTTCACCCTGGCCACTTGCCACTTCCCTCCTCCTTGCTGAGCCTCCGTGCCAGCACCATTAGTGAAAGTTGTTATTGGAGAAAAAATAGACTCCAGCATCCATCAGGAGCAGCCCAAGCTGTCAGCGTGCTGCTCCACATCGCAGGGCTTGCAGCCTCCTAAATCATGAGGCACAGCCTCTGCTGGAGGAATGTGTCTGCTCTGGGTGCTCTGGGTGTGTTTGCAGCCCTGCTAACGGGGCCTGGGATGCTGACAAACCTCCAGCCTCAGACACGTATGGGGCCTCCTGCTCATGAAGATGCTCTTCACCTGGTGCTGGTAATTTTTCCTGGTCAGCAATGACTTCCCACCTTGGAGACAGGAGCCAGACCTGCTAACTGAGCTTCTGTTGCTTCCATTACAGAGGAAGGAGATCTTATGCTTGCATCTCTGGGTGCCTGTCACACATCTTTTAGGAGGGGTTCTGGGGCCTCCAGTGCCTTGCAGGTCAAATTCTGGGGTCCCTGGGTGGTATTTGGAGGGTTAAGCTGATGCTGTAGCCTGTTATTGAAAGCCAGCTGCTCTGTGCAGATGTTGCCATTGTAGGCTGCAGCATGGAAAACCCTGGGAGATGCTCTCCACCAGCGGGTGACAAAAGGCACAAGGTGCTTGCTCAGGTTCTTTAGGAGCAGCATCAATCTCTGCTGATCATGAACTAAATCCTGCACAGTTTGTTTCCAAACCTGTGTTTGTGACGAGACCCAGCAGTGCTCGAGCAGAGATGGGACTGCATGGCTTTCCCAAGGTGCTGCCTACACAGGGAGGGGTCTGTGGGTGGCATTTCCCCCTCTGTGGGGCTGGGGACAGGAGGAGAATCTCTGCTGCCACAGTATGAGCAGCTCTCAGTGCTCCCTTCTGCTAACCCTGTCCTCTTTGTGGCTTGTGGTGGGCTGACCTTGACTGGCTGCAAGGTCTTCTCCTGACCCCAGAGGAAATTTTTATCTTGCAGTGTCTTGGGACACAGGTCTTCCCTCAGCATGGCCTTTCCCTGCTGCCCTGAGAGTTATAGAGACTGGGATGTCACTGACTTCTCCTTTTGGGGCTTGCTTTGACCCCATACAGGTCAGAGTCCCCTGTAGAATAAATGCTGCTCAGCAGGAAAAAGGGTAGCAGGATCCATCTCCTAATGAGAACCCCCAGTAACAAGCCACAACTGTGTTTGGAGTGGGACTGGAGGCTTCAAAATTCAGGCTGGATTCAGCCTGCTCTGCCTCTCACTGCTCACATACTGCTTTTTCCTGCCTGCAGTGATCACAGGGATGAGTGACACCAAACTGTGTCAGATGGCTCTTATGGAGGGCCATCCTGTCCTGCTCTCCTGAGACACAGGAGAGTTTCACACTTTCCTGCTGGGAAACCATGAGTTCAACCTTTGTGTTTCCCTGGACTTCACTCTGCTCAAGGAAGGTCAGGCTGGAGCCGTGGGTTCAGGGCAGGCAAGATAATGCACTTTATCATTGATTTTCAGTGAGAAGTTGCATTATGAGATTAAATGACTCATTTTTATTGCATGGGGAGGCAAAGAAAAAGCAGGAGCTCTGAAAATAAAGCCTAAGTCCAAGTGCTGTGTTTGTGTGGGGAGGTGCTTGTGACTGGGAGCAAACCTTTTTTCCAATCCTTTGGAGGTGAACTTTGAGACGCTGCTTCCTCTGAGGCTGGTAAACAAAGTCAAACCTCATCTGTGTTTAAACCAGGGCCTAATTAATGTGTCTAATTGGCCCACATCTACTAATTCCAGGCTGGCAGGGAGTTTATTAAAAAGCTTTTCTAGTTCTAATGGATTGAAATAAGCAAAGCTGCTTAGCAGTCTCAGATGAAAAGCACCAAACAGGGACCAGTTGTGTGGGTCTGCTTGAGTCAATCCCAAGTCCCACCAGGTGTCAGCCCCTTCCCTGGTTTCAGCTGCAAGGTGCTCCAGCTCTCTGAGGGTTTGGGGACCATCCTGATGCACTCTGCTTATTTTGGTTATTTTTAAACACCAAATTGATGTTTTTGTTTGCTGTAGTAAAAGCATCGGCTATTCTAGCTTTAATGCCGTTAATACTTAGATTATAGATAGGCTGGCAAAGCCACAGGGTATTTCTAAAGCAACAGATTAGTCCATTTCCAAAAAGTATTAGGTGTCAGGGTGTGAATAACAACCATCTGCAGCTGCCCAGATGATGTCCTTAAGGTACAGCAGACTCCAGGCTCTGAGCTGGGCACAGGGAGTGACCCCTCCTCTCTGCCTGCAGGGCCAGGGCAATGCCTTCCTCTGCAGGCACACAGCCCTGGCGGGCTCCAGGCTGGGTGTAGTGTTTGCTTCTGTCCCACACTGCACAAATCATCCTGTAAAACCTCCTCCTGCATGCTGGAGCTGCCTCAGCTCTGTCCTTTGGCCATGCTCAGAGTTACTGCAGGCTCAGGAACCTCACGGCTCTCCCTGGGCTCTGGGAATTCCTGCTGCCTCCCTCCTGGGCTCTTTGTAGCTCAGATGGCTGCAGGCGGTTTGCTCTGCATTGTGATGTGGAAATTCAGCAAGGGAACTAAAGAAGCATTGGATATAAAGTGGTTGGAAATGCAGATTGCCTCCACATGGTCTCCCACCGTTGTGACTTCCAGGTTTCCAACCCCAGAGCAGGTGGACACAGCTCCACCTGTGACTGTCTCCAACCACCTTACCCTGTACCAGCCATGCTAAAGCTCATCATGCCACCTCCTAATACCCCAGAACTCATTGGGAAACCTTTCCCAACTACCCTTCCCACCCAAAATGGGTTCTAGGAGGGGACACACAGCCCCATCCTCCCACCCCACTCCCCCCAGCAGCCTGATCTGCCATTGCTTGTACACAAAGCAGACCTGGGCTGGAAATGCTGACAGTACTCTTGAGAGTTTATGGTCACAAACTCTATTTTCAGCCTAATAAGTTTTTTATATGCTTGGAAAGCTGTCAGTTGAACATTAGCCAGGCACAAAGTACCTGCCATAAAGTGCCTGGCCCACAACCAAACGGGAAAGGTGCTGCTCTGCTTTAGCAAGTTCTTGATCTTGGATGCTTTAGTCGGATCATTTATTTTGTTTGAAGATCTTGG